TCATATGTTAGAAAATTTTTACTTACAACATATGATAATGGTTTATAGAGAACACCAGAAAGCATTAAATAAATAACAATAACCGGTAAAACCATGAATGGTAACATAAATACTCTTAATGGTCTCATACCATATGCTGTAGCATATAAAACATGTGATATACCAAATGCTAGAACACCATGAATAAAAAATGAATGATCATAAACAAGTAATGCATCTCCAAGTAATGAAAAAGCTAAACCAGTTAGAATTCGTCGCGAATATGAATATTCAAAACCACGTAAATTAATTCCATTTAATAGAATAAATAAAATTAATGAACATATTGGTAAACATTTAAATATTAAATAGAACATATCAGCAGTTTTATATTTAGCTTTGGGAAAAAGTATAAAAAATATTGCAACAGTCTTAAAAAATGGCACAAGTTTAGGACCATTACATTTTAAAACACTCGGTAATTTTGACATAATTGTCATTTGATTGGTAATTGTAGATTTTGTAGTACTCATTTGTTCGCTTCTAAAAATACATAAAGAAACAATTATTTGCTGTTTTTTATACTCAAAGTATTCTTAGAGTCATGTGCCGTCAAGAGGTCACAAGATAATAAACTGTCATGTGATAGAACGAAAGTGAAATAAATATACGACATAAAAATACGAGGGGTGTGTTCTATACAAGAAAAAGAAATGCGAAATTTCGAAATATGCTACTTTAAAAAAGGTTAAATACATATTTCGCAATAAATAGTTGTTCATTGAAAAAAACCGCTTGCTTCATTACACTTCTGGATTGACAGAGTAAAAAGAATAACATGTGATGCTCATGAATAATACATAAAGAAGAACAATCATGAATTGCTCACATATAACTACTAGCGACAAAGAATTATCTTTAAAAAGTTGAAATCAATGTTAAGATTTTCGTTTAAAATAAAGATATAATATAATTGAAATAGGATGATTATGTAAATATATTAATTACGCCAAATACTACTGCCATCTTTCATACATCATAAATATTCGAATCGTTCAGTTGACCAACACGAAAAAAACTCGCTTTTTACTAACTCATGATGATGATAATAATATTAAAGTAAATAAATTTCAACATATTATATTATAGAGCTACTTCCGACAAACAACTTCTTTTTTGTCAATTGAATAATGATCAATAAATTTTTATTGTCGTATTTGTTATTCTCAACTATTCAAACAACTGTATCAGATATATTCGTGGTATGATAGGAAGTAAATTTATTTGAATTGCACTAAAAATCTTTATTTTTTACATATAGTATAATAATTCAAATAAGGTAATTAATAGTTATGAAGATCAAAATGCAAATTTTGGTCCATCATTTCCGTCGGACGGATTAAAAGTAAGAAAAATATTTTCATAGTTGCATTCTTGCATTTTTTTGTTCTTTCTTTATTTAAAAAATAAAGGGTTATATTACAATAACAAATCCACCTAATGCATGCCAGAAGATATTACCACCACCTAATATTCCAACATATGGATATCGTTGGATTGCACTTATACCACGGACGAGAAGTGGCGATTCATGTGAATTTATGACTAAAGTAAATTTCGAAAAAATGATTGGTATGGGATTTTTAAATATGTCATATTTTTGTAGGTACAAAATGCACAAAATGCGAATTTTAGTGCTGTGATAATTTATAATTATGAAGATACGTTAGTTGCTATGGGCTCATCTTCAAAAAGTAAGAACAAAGAAAATTATATTCAATAACATTCATTTTAAATTTAGATGTACATATACCATCAACATTAATTACTCATACTGATGGTTTAACATTGATCTCACATTATTTGTATAATGAAACAACAGCTAATTCAACTCCGATGTAAGATTTATTTTAATAACTATCTATGGAATATCGTGTAGAAATAAATAATATCCATTAGTTAGATTACATATGAAATTAATGTAAATATATCAGCATCGAAGAATAGTTGATTATATAGTAGTTTTGAGTATATTTCTATAATAAATATGTTAAGGTAGATACAATCGATGAGTATGTAGATTATGAATATTCTCAGCCGATGTATTGTTTATAGAATACAACTTTACGCTTACAAAAAAAAATAAACAATATATATAACAAAATTTTGTTTCTCAATCAAAGCATGATAGTGTTTAGCTAGATGAAGAAAGATGCTAACTATATAGCATAGTTAAGGAAAAGGTGGACCTATGAAAAGTGACTTGTTTTTTTTGTATCGTGTATTGAACTTAATAAATAACTGAAGATAGATATTCTTGTTTATCTATGATACAACTATTATCAATATAATTCATCGTATACTGTTTTTGACTTTCAATAAAATAATTATGATGAATGGCTATTCTACAATATCAATAATCATTTTTTTTAAATAGATATCATCTGAAAATACTTCCTGAAGAACCATTTAAATTTGGTATTTATTTAATACCATTTGTTGTAGTTATTGGTGTTTCATTTCTTGGTCTTATTGGTTTTGTCGTAAGTTTTTGATTTCAACTTATAAATATAACATTAAGAAACTTTAAATTTAGTTAGTTAAATATCATTTACAACGACGTCGTATGCAACGTCATCGTTTACCACGATCAGCATTAAAACAATTGAAAATAAAAAAATTTGTCAAAACTGATCCATGGGAAGTATGTGTTATTTGTTTGGATGATTTCGAAGAAGGAGCAAAACTACGAATATTACCATGCGATCATGGTTTGTTATCTTTTTTTTCTTTTAGAATATTTTCTATGAACCTATTTATTTTTAGCATATCATGTGAAATGTATTGATCCATGGTTGATAAATAATCGACGACAATGCCCGGTATGCAAACGATATGTCTTTCCTAACCAACATAACTCCGATGAAGAAAGTAATGATCCTCCACGAGTAAGAGTACATACAGAACGAACACCATTAGTTCATTCCAATGATACTAATTCAACTATAGATATATCAGAAACTTCACAATCATCACGTAAAATTTTATAAAAAAGAATAAATAAGATCAATATACTTTTTTTATCGTTTAGAACGTCATTTTCTTCGTCCATCTACTAATGGCGTTCGTAATATTTCATTTACATCAAATGAATCATCAGAAAGTACTGAAAGTTTATCGACATCATCGCGACCAACAACAACAACAGAAATTGTATTCGAACGCCCATCAACAAATGTACGACGATATGGTAGTTTAAGTGATTCATCAACTACAACACGACGTGCTGTTGATACGAATGCATCTACACGTTCTAATATGGAAAATATTAGTGATATAGAACAAGCCGATGATGAAAATGATGATGATGATGATGAACGAATGGAGTCTGCTATAACTACTTCAAGAGACAATCCTGCATATAATGAAGATGAAGTATCAACAAAAGATGTAATTCGTACAGTTATGTAAAATTTTTGTACTTTGAACTTCCAACAGTATTTCTAATTAACATGTCTCAAAAGCTTTTTTTTTCTTATTTATGTACCATATATAAGCGTGCTTCAAAGTGAATAATGTCTAGATACTTTGTTACTAAATACATTTTTTTTCTTTCTTAATATGTGTGTTCAAATTCGTGATAAAATTTTGTGGTCTATGTCTTTTATATTTAAATAATATATATATAAATGTGATTTTATCATTGATAAAATAAAAAAAACAATGAACAATATATTTGCTTATAAAGAAATTCGAAACCTAGGTCAATCAATCCAATGTTGGATCCGATCATCCGACAGAATCCGATAGAATTCCTGGTGACGGATTTGCATTGGATTCCGTCGGAAAATTTTCAGTCACTTGCTGCAAATTTGATGAGCGGCGTTTTTAGCTATTTTCTATGATGGCCTTATGGTTACCTATCGGATCCGTCTAGATCCGTTTGTTGGAAATTGTGAGATCCGATGGGATCCGACCACAACGGATTCCGATAGAATCCGGCTTAGGATCCGAATACGGGATTGATGGACCCGGGGGGTATGGCAGAATTCTTCGAATAATTGTTGAACAAAATTAAAAGTTCTAAAACGAATGGTTCAGGTTTTCCAATGATAATCACACACCCTCACCCTAAATCAACTTTAGATTTTTCTCATTTATAAATAAAATATCTATTTGATTTATTTTTAGAGATTTTATATGCTACAATATAGTTTATAGCATCTAATAATAGATTAGTTATCAGATCGATTAGAAATAGAAATATCACAAATGAAAAATATATCAATTCGATATTTAAAGATATTTATTTGAAAAGAAAAGATTGAAAATTTTTTCGAGTATGTTATTTTACGAAATCTTCGATAATCTATATATTTATTGAATAATTCGAATTTTCATTTTACTGTATTTTCTACCTCGCTATTGATATTGAGACAGCGAGTGTAGGTAATAACAGTGACTTGAATTTTATTTAAGAATACACATATTAATATTTATTAATCATCAGATGGATTATAATGACCTTGCCGTCTGAATTTAAGAAAGATAATTATAATAAATCATTTGACAAAATATATATTTATTCAACAAGAAAAAATATTTCTAATATAAACGGTATACTATGTGTCAATTATTGCCTAATATATGATCATTTATCATGCCTGACATGTATATACCATACACCTTTATAATTATGCTAAAATATGAATAATAAATTGAGCGAAAATAAAATAAAGCAAGAATTAAATTTAGTATATTTGATTGAAATATAAGAGATGTTAACATATACATATTTATAGATTCTTGTTCATACTCGGAAAGCAACACAAAACTACTATTTAAGAAAATGAAGCATATGTTTGGTAATATTTTAATAATTGTCAATAAAAACAAATAGTTTGTCAAAAAAAAAATATATATATAGGCTTAGTAGATGCTACGTACTCACATCGGTAAGTAATCATCTCTCACTGTTGTTTTTAGAAACATATGTGAATAGGAATTTCTTAATACAAAAATCAATAGTATACATCAAGTGAAGTACCATTCACATTCATTGAATGAGGTCTATAATCTTTTGTAATATGTCGATTAGGATATTGTGAATGTCTCAATGGTTGACCGTCAGATGAACATAAAATAAACTCATTTGTTTCAAAGTATTGTGATTGTGTTTTTTGTTTTCTATTAAGTTGTTGTTGTTGTTGAGCTGGTATTGATGATTTTTGTCTAGGTATCAACATTTCCGATCGATTATCTGGATAACTCGAATAAAGAGAATTTTGTAAATTTGTAGGAGGTAGTCGTCCATTCATTTGTGCATTTGATTGACGATGAAAAGGTGTAGAATCAACACCATTTTGATATGATAATAGATTTGGTTGAGAACCGGCTATGAGAGATGATGTAGATGTCCAGAGTGGATTGGTTGTAATTGGAAGACCACTACCATTTACGAGACGATGTTCATAATGAGGACTGAGATACATATTACGTTGTTGATCATGATATAAACGTGTTTCAGAAGGAGTTTTATGTCCATTTTGTAAGTGATACTGAGAAGAATAATGATTATTATTATTATTATTGTTATGATGTGTATTTACATCATTTCGTGACGATGAATTTGATTGTAAAACATTACTTGTTAATTCATAATTATTATTTCGAGGAAACAATTTTCTATGAAAGAAGATAGAAGTTATTTTAAACAAATTTATTGTTATTAGGTTATAACACATACTTATTCATAGCAGTAATCGGTGGTGGTCGGTAGCGATAAATAGGTGGTCTATTTTGTTGTTGATTTTCCATAGGTTCAATGTTACCATCATGATCAGTAAAAACTGAATCTGTTTCATCTTTGAGAAAATCAAAAGCAATACTAACAGTTTCTACCTATATAAATATACAAAAAAATCAATTTGTATATTATATTAAAGATAGTTTAATGATAAATTTCATACGGGATCAACTGTAGCATCACTTTTATGAGAAGATAACTGTGGTCTTGCAATACGATTCTCAAGAACATGATTGTTTTTATGATCATCAGTAGTTGAATGAGAATTTGCTTGTACATGTTGACGTATTCTATTATCATCTGGATCAACTGTTGTATAACCAACAATCGTCGGCTATGAAACAAAAATAAAAAATTGAATTTGTAATATCATATTTCATTATATTAAATAATAAAATATCAATCACCTTAGATCCAAAACACATATCATAACTAGAACGTAATTTAGTAGTGAGAAGTGTTGTAAAACTTGATGAAGTCTGAAACTCATGTTTAAGACGTACCATATTCAATGATTATATCATATAATACTTTTGCAAAGAATGATCATGTACTCTACTTCAGACATATAGACTAAAGAAGTGCAGATGGTAATCGTTCAATCAATGCATAATATGATCGAATATTGTCGTCATAGTTAAAGTGGGAGTATAGAAGAGAAAGAGAGACAGAAATAGTATGTGTATTTGTCCAATAGAAGATGATGACAAAGAGGCGGCAACAACGACGACAACGACAATATCGGTTACTTTAGATCATGAATACGAAGAGAGAAAGTAATCGCTCACTAAATATATATATATTCTTTTTTTTGTTCTTTTTTACATAGACTAACATCAACAAGGATTTCTTTCTTTCTTTCTTTCTTTTTCTTATGACATCGTATTTAGCTCAATACAATTAATGAGTTATTGATTGATAAAAAAAAAGTAAGACAACCTTCAAAATAATATTAATGGTAATAAATAATAATCTAAGAAAAAATATGTTTTTCTTTTTACCTCTGTACTTTTCCATGCTTGTGCTCGTTGAATATTACCATGATTAGCATGTACTGTATCATAATCTTTAGGTGGAAATAGAATAGGTTCATTTGATTCAATTTTTCTTTGTAATTCTTCTGTTATTGATTTCATTGGATTAGTAATTATATTTTCTTGTCGACTATCACTACTTGCTGCTGATGATGAAGATACACCTGTATCAGTTTTTTGTGTTTGAACTGCATTAAAACGATCTATATTTAATAATTTACGATTAAGTAGATGTTGTTCTAATTGAATAATTTGAAGACGATGACTTTCAATAAGCATATATGCACGTAAACGAGATAGAAATTTTTGAGCAGTACGTGATGAATCACATCGATAAACATGAACAAATGCTGGATAATGTTGACCAGTCAATGGTGAAATATATACAACACCTAATTACAATATTTATTATACATTCTTCTATTCACGAAAAGAAAAATTGAATAACTTACCAACAGTATCATGTAAAGATGATTTACCTACAGTTGAACCAGCAATCATTGATGATGGTACACTTGTAGAAAATTTTTGTTCATTATTATAAATAATTTTTACACCATCTTTTGATATTGTAACTGTTGTTTTAACAAAATCACGTTTTGTTTTTTCCTTACGAATAACATCAATTGCATCTCGTATTATTTGATCATTTAAAAGTAATGCCGCTGCTGTACAACCACAATAATCAACATGAAATGTTTTCGGTTTTGATAATTTATGTAAAGCCATCCAACATATCTATAGACATATTATTATATAATAGAAGAAAATTTGATATCGTATAATTTCAAGAAAAAAGAATGTCATGAAGACCTTAATAATAACTATTAGAACAAATAAGCAAGAAAAAGATTAGTAAAATGCTTCTATTCAATAGTAACAACAACAAATGTAGAATACCTAACATGTACATGTGAAAAGAAAACATGACTCTAGTTTGCATTCATTCTATATTTATTAATCAGACACTTGACAAAAAAAAACGCAAAAAGCAATACGAAATAAATTCATTTTTTTCTTCGTTTCTTTTCTCCTTCTTTTCCTTTTAGCAAAACAGTACACCGATATAGTAGGTGTTGTTGGTTGAAAAAACAACATCATATAACGTTTCGGGATTTTTCTTTCGCTCTCTCTCTCTCTCTTCCTCTCTGCTTCTTGAAAAAAAAACGCTTTTTTTTTATTTCTGCCAATACGACGTTCGATTACGAACGCAAATGACAACTGAATAAAGAAAAAATGTCCGGAATAATTGTACAAAATGCATAATAATCATTGGTAATGAAATATTAAATTCATTAACAAATTCTTGAAATAATATTATATAAAATCCTAGACACATTCCACTTAATGCTATTATACGATGCATATATGTTTGTAAACCATTAAAAAAACAATAGAGAATATGAAAAAGATTAATAAGAAGAAAAATAATATCAATAGAATAATTCGAGAATAAAGCGGATTTTTTAAATATATTGAAATTTGAATAATATGAAATTGTAATAAGGCTTATTGTAAGAAAAAGATGAATAATAGACCAAATATATGAATAAATATGTACAATAAGAGTAAGAAGTATACCAGTTAAAATAGCATCCATGCTGAGAAGAATATATATGAATGTATTTGAAATATTTTCATAGATTAAAATTAATAGAAAATCATTGCTTACTAATAGACTAATGATGAGTATATATAATGAAAGATAGGAAAAATATTGTTTAATGAAAGAGAAAAGAAAGAATTTATGAATAATAAAGGAAATTAATATGATTAATAAATAGATACTAAATAAATTCGATTTAAATAAGAAAAACATTATCAAACAAGTTTATGTATAGAACAAGAAAAAAATTAAATCGGATACGCGCGTCTATAGACATTCATCTTTCAAATTGTTTGTAGAAAGCTTTAAGATTTGATTCAATAGAAAAAGAATCTGTTTCAAATTTGATTAAGCAATAACTGACAAAATTCTTATTCATTTCATCGTTCTTCCACATTATTTGTCTTGGCAATGAAATATATTAACATATGTAATATATATACATATATGCTCCTTACCTTTTCATCTCTGTACTCTTGTCATTTCATAATAATTTTATGATATAGATAGAGAAATGGTAGTGATTCTTACCATTTCTCTCTTTTTTTATGATAGGACAACAGTGTTAGATCACTGTCTTATCAAATACTTGATATTGTACTTTATAAACACATATATCCTTCTCTCATTTTATCTTTTATTTATCAATATGTTCTTTATCGTCCTTCATAATATGCACATTCGCTTTTTTTTTCTCTTGTTTACTATTGTTTATCTTGTACAAAAAGGTCTGATTTGAATACATTCGCACGATAATATTGTAACAATTGAATTGATCCTTGAAGTTCTGCTATAAGATTATTCGAATCAGTTGATATTATTCTATAAAACAAAGATCATTAAAATCATATAAAGAGAATTTTGATTAGCAAAAAAAAAAAGAAATTAATTTACGGTCGATTTTCGTAGACTTTCTTAGCCCATCTTCGACAAAGAACATTTAAAACATCTACATCAATACTTCGATAATGACAACATGTAAGAAATTCTGGTACAACACGTTGTATTCTTGCACGATCTATATAAACAGATTGACCACAAATAGGAGAACTTCGATTAACTAAAATATTTTTTTGTAAAAAACCAACTAATAAAGAATAATGATTGCTTTTATTAGTCATATCAACATATAGATCTTTTAAAATATTAAGATTTCCATCGGTTATAATCACATATATATGATTGACTTCATCAGAATCAGTTTTTAACCAAACAAGATGAGTACGTGGATTAGAAAGAACTGGTGCAGGTACATAAGGTGGATTTCGAATAGTATGATAACCAAAATAAAAATTACTAGAAAGAAACAATCTGTTAAAAAAAGAAAGAAAATTTGAGATTTTATTATTACTGTTGTCGATAATGAGTAAGTTCATTAATTGATTCTTTTATATCATCACGTGCTCGATGCATCATTTGTTTATGTGGTCGTTTTGTATATCGTATAGGTTGCCAACGTAATGTTAATTCTTTGAGAGTACTACCTTGAAAATTAATCACATATAGATGTTAAATTTGAAATAGAGGAATATATATATATTTACATACAATCAACAATACTTGGATGAAGAATGGCATTAAGACGTGGCATGTATTTCTCAATAAACCTAAAGAATTCTACTGTTTTATATACTAGAAGGACATAATATATCATTGTTAAAAGTGAAGAGATCCATTAGAATAACTCAACAAATTAAGTGAAAATTATTGATTTAAGTTTTTAAATAAGAAGATGAATAACATTCATATTGTCTAAGTTAATTCAAAGCTTTAAATTTTATCATTCGGTTATCAAAATAGGTTTTAATGAGATAAAGAAACCCCTAAGTTCTTATATCTAATATTCAACAGACTTTAAACGTCGATTACATGTACTGACGCATAAAATACTCTTTTTAGCAACGTTCATTCATGTATAAAATACATGGATTCCCTTATCAGAGAGGACAAGTATTAGGAATCAATACTATCAGAGTTTTGTTTTAATCGACGAAAAGTAACATATAACCAGATAAAATAGAATGATATGTTATAACTATGTTTGAAACTTATCACACTAGTCTGCATTCTCGAGCTATTAATAAAGAGAAATGCCTTTTCTTAACAATGAAATGAAGAATAATCACATGAGAGGTAGAAAAATGGAATTACTCGCTAGTTTTTCTAATGAGCTCTAACACAATGTTTTACAACAATCCTCTCGGTCTCGGGGCTTTGAGAGACTATCTATGTGTCATTCTATAATCATTTTTGTACATTTTCTCACTCATAATCTGGCCTTTTGAAGAACATTTTAGAAACTTGGCGTCATCAAAATTCAGAAAACCGAGACTGCCTCGATACATCCTTACACTCATTCATTTAAAATTCTTTTCGCATGATAGAATTTCGAAAGACAAAATATTACAACTTACCATCGATCTACAAAAACTGAATTTCCAGCTAAAATTCCACTACCAGATGGACAATAATGTTTAAGAAAATCAATAACTGTTGTTTCGGCTTGATCTAATGATATTTGACTTTGACGAATTAATTCAATTAATCCTGATTTTGTATGCTGTTCTCTTGACCAATCATTCATTTTATCCAATATATCTTGATCATGATGAATAACAATATCCGGTCCTAAAAATAGAAATTATATAATAGATTAAATTTTCTCAATTAAATCTAAACCTTCAATATAATTTGTTAAATGAAAATCCGTAATTGCTATTGCTATTTCAACAATTGTATGAATATTTAAATCAAGTCCACTCATTTCCAAATCAATCCATACAAGTAAACTATGATCACAATCATTCATCATCGCCATAAGAAAGATAAAAATCTGAGAAATTAATTTAAACAAAAGAAAAGTCAAATGAATATAAACAATGATTATTTAAACAAAACAGAACATTTATTTTATAATAATTTTTGTCAATAAAATAAAATTATTTTGATTTTTTAATTTCAAATATTTGTCGAATTTTAATGATTGTGATTAGAATAAACGCCAAAATCCTATATGTCGATAAAATATATTTTGACTGAGAAATAAACTCAATAAAAAGTATATTTACTGAATTTTTAGATAAACGTGCTTGACGTATGGCTAACATTTGATTAATCTGTGCACGTTCAATTTCTCGATCTTGTTCGAATTGTTTTAAACGACGTTTTAATCTAAAATTTATTGAGAAATAAACCAATTTTCAAAAAATATAAATTTTCACTTTTCATCAAATTCATTCATTTCAGTTGATGTTCGAGGAGAAATCTATAAAATAAGACGTTAGTTTTTAAAACGATTATCAATCATATATATATACTTCTCTAGTATTATTTTCATTTATTTGATAATAAAATTCTTCAACACGACGATCAAATTCATCTTCTAACTGTAAACTTCTGTAAAAAAATCTATATTAAGAAATTTTCCCAAATATTTGTATTTATCATACTTTAATTCTTTTTCTTCTTGTTCAGTACGATTAATTTTAAATATTAAATCATTAATACGTTCTAAACGTATTTCTTTGATACTCTTTTGATATGTATTTATCAACTGAATTGGTTCACGTTGTTTTCTTTAAATAGAACAAAAATCACACACATAATATTTCGTCTGTCTGAATAAGCAATAGATCGTTTTATTGCAACATTTAGTATATCTTACACGATCTTGTGATAGTTAAATTAAACTTAATTTTTATTCCTATCTAACTATAATAACTGGTTATAGATTTACCTCATTGATGATGATAAACGATTCGAGAGATTAACATCGTTTGTCTAAAGAAAAAGAATATTAATTTTTTGATTTTTATATAACGATGATATACTAAATTGGTTTGTCGAGTTGTTGGATCTGAGTGAAGAATTGATTTTAGTACTATTTTAGATGGTGTACTTGGTTTTTTTCGATAATTGTCATTTTGATCAGGTGGAACATCTTCTCGAAAGACTAATGATCGATTTGATGATGATGTTTTTCGATTGATAAATGATTGTGTTTGATTAGATGAACGAATGAAATTTTTTTCATGATTATCAAATTGTTTTGAATAGGAAAGATTTGAATTTGATTGTTGTTGTTCTTCTGATGCATGATCATTTAATATCTGAGATGAATATGATGGTTGAGTAGATGATGAAGTAACAGGAGTTGAATTTTGCAGTTGATGAACAGGACGTGTAAATGTCGAAGATTGAAATGATACTAAAGAAGGATTTGATGATGTACTGAGTAAACTTGAAAGACCATGGTGATTAGCTGCATCTTTGAGAACTTCTAATGTAATTTTATTATCACATTGTTTCAATATATCAACAGCTCTGGAAGAAAAAGAGATTCAAAAAAACATAACATTTCAATTTTTCTTTACTGTTCTTGTGTTACATCGATAAGACTAATATTATCAACAGAAAGGATTTGGTCACCTGGTTGAAGACGTCTATCATTATCTGCTGCACCATTTGGTATGATTCCTTTTATATAAATACCATAAACTTGTTGATTATCACTCTAGAAAAATAATTTTAGATTATATTTACAATGAAATTAGTTGCTTTTACTTTTACGGAAACAATATTTAAACCAAGACTATTCTCTTTTTTATTTAATACAATCGTTTCTATTTTATCATAATCTTTAGTATTATTTTTCATCTAAATAAGTTGAAGAAATGAAATTATATATGTATGTATATACTTTTTTATTTACATTAGATATTTCCATAAATTCAGTCCACATTCCACGACTATGTGGATTTATAAATAATCGACATAATGTTGATTGACTCATTGTTTCAATGAATTGAAATAATTGTTGAGGTATACCTTGTACTTGTTCAAATGTATATCCATCTTCTGGTAATAGGAATGATGGATTTAAATCGATTTGTTCAGCTAATTGAATAATAAGACCTTGTGAATGTAAATTTTCGTCAACTTGTTTATAAGCAGCAGAAAGAAGACTAAAGAAAAAAAATGATTCATTTTCGAATAGACTGTATGTAATATCTACAAAAACAGATGGATAGACAAATTTATTATTAGATAGATTAGTATCGACCATTATTCGGTTTAAAGCTTATATTTATAGAGCATACTACATGTAAAATCAAGTTTTTTTCTCTCGAGTCTATTTTAGCCTATTAAATTTTTTATAGACTTTCTTTTGGATTGAATCTAGAAAATGAAACCCATACGTTTGTTTGTCGATGGATGTCGCTTTTCTCTATTAACTCTTTTCAGGTTTTATTTAACATAGATCTATTAAAAGTCATAGAAAATCAATCTATATTTTGTCATTATTTCAATCTCATATATCTGTACATATACGAAACAAAAATAGGAAGAATATATCTTGAAATTCTGTTCACACAAGAATCAGAAGTTGTAACCAAGCAGAAATTTTTACCTTTCTGATCCATCGAATCTAAAATTTTCGAACTTGACCTTAGTCTATAATATAGTATATACTAATAAATCGAATGACGATATATTTTTTTACAGAGAGGTCTATATATGAGTATTATATCCTAAAAATGAGATTTTAAAGTCTCAGTTTCTGTTTCTTTTACGACTTTGATATCTTGAGGAGGAAATCTCACTTTCAGACTATGCTACTCATATATAGAAGGCCTAAGGGGATTCAATATTTTACTACAGCCTATCTTTTACACAAAGATCAAATTTCACCGAGATTGAACAGTCGGCAACGTTCCCACATCCATTGAGTCAAATTCTATATCCTTTCGCTTTTACGTAGGTAATCATCTTCATTTATATCATTTCCTATTCTTTGCAAATGAACAACTTCTGTAAAAGAAAACTTACGCATCACTAAAACTATTGGCAATTGGTGGTTCATTTCTATCCGAAATATAATTATTTAATATTTGTTTTACTTGTAATGAGTTTATTTGCAATGTATTATTCGATATTAATCTTTGTACATCATATACATCGTATTTCGAATTTTTTAATAATAAACATAATTGATTTAATTTCATTAGATAACATTCACATTGTAATTCTAAACCTTGTCGTTGTGCCCAATTTTTAATAGATTTTAATCGAATTAAGAATTTTTCTCCCCATAACGATGAACATAATTTTAATTCAGGACAACAAATAATTCGATTAAATAACCATGTATTTATATAAAGAAATATTTGTGAAAAAATTTGTATTGTAAATGCAGGATTAACACGACATTTACATAATAAATCCATAATTGATGAAAGTATTGCGAGAATATCATCAAATGTGAATTGATAATATTTATTAGGAATTTGTTCTAATATTATCCAACGTGTATCAGTAAATTTATCAATATGAATATGTCGTTCAATATTATCATGTGGATTAAGAAATCCTGTTAAACATTTATCTAATTCATTTTGTAAAATATCTATTAAATAATGTAATAAACGTTGAATATATGAAGTTAAATGAGTTTGTATATGAGTAGACATTTTTGATAGATCTCGATCATGTTTAAGAAAATAAAGAATTTCCGATGTATTCGCTAACCAATATGCAAGATAACCAGCATGTTCTTGACATTCCTATAAAATTAATTGTTGGTTTTATTTT